TGTATATAAAAAAGATGACTATGTTTTTGTGTTAAATGGTTAAAGGAATAAGTCAATGAAATTTGTCATTTATATCTAACCTGGCTTTTTTGAAAATCAAGGTTTAAGTAGTTCATTGATTAAAAATTTTCTCTCCTTGTAAACAACTAAAGGGGGGTAACTTTTGGAAGTTCCTGTCCAAAAACCACTCGAACGATTTTGTCCAAAATGTGCATACATGCAGTAGATATAGTCATGTACTAAATATACAAAAATAACGAAAATTAAACGACAGGAATTTTTGGGGGTAGGTGTGTTGTACATCCTTAAATAGTACTTAAAATGTGATTTTAATGAAGAGTGTTCAAAGTGTTTCGTGTATTTTAAAAATTAAATATTTGTAAATAATAAACTTGTCATCACTTTACATACATTGTGTCATAGTGCTTGTAATGAAATGTACTGAAATAAAAATAAAAATATTCATATGAAGAAACACTTGTTTGGTGTCTTGAAATATAGTTATTCAATAAAATAAATTATGGTTTGGTACATATTTTATACTTCATACTTTATCAGAAAAATCAATATGTTTTAATTAGACTGTTAAATCAAGATAACACAGGTAACACAGGTAAACTCTGTGCCCCTCAGAGGGCCTCTTAATTGAGTGTGATAATTATACTGTTTATATAGGTTTTAGACGTTCGGGGAATAAACCATAAAAATAGCAGATAGATTATTTATTATTATTTTTTTAAAAGTGAATTCAAGTATATTTTTTGTATATTTTTCTGTTAAACTTTTTATTTATTTTTAACTCCAGTTATTTATATGCATTTCTTTCATAAATTTATTTTATTTTGTAAATATTATAAATATTTTTTTTTTGATAAATATATCTATTTTCTGTCTTAAAATGTACACTATACTGGTAAAATACAGGTAAATCTAAGATGGGATGTAATTAGTCTAATTACTGTAAAAACCAATTAACTAATCAAAACATCTATTGTTATTTGCAAGTGGGAATAGGTGGAATTGAGATTTTTTAAAAGGGGAATACATTGTAGCTAGAAGACACCCAAGAAATACATACTAATCCAGGCATCATTTTTTTTTTTTGTATCATCAGTCTTTAAGACCAATGACTGACAAATAAATTGATGTTTTTAATTTTTTAACTCCTGACTTAAAGACAGCTTTCTTAAATACTTTTGTCGATAAAAAGATTCATTGTTATACCCCGCTTTAAAAGTGGGAGAGTATATAGTGATCGGCATGTCCGTCCATCTGTTAAGCTTGCGGGTATTCCTCTTATACCACTGAATAAAATTTAATGAGGCTTTCATAGATTTTTTAATTGTTACATGTCCATAGTGCTACATAGTGTTGTGTACTTCTTATTTTAATTGTTGATCGGAAACATGAAGGATATGTAGATAACGAACATTTCTTGTGTCCAATAGCAAGACAATGACACTGCCATTTTTCTCTTATATTGAAGGCCGGCATGGAGCTGTTGTTACTTTAGACATTTGCTCTAATGTCGAGAAGTAAGGAGTTGATCCTTACGTCGCGGGTTCGAATCCAGCTGTGGGACGTAGAGACCAGTCCTTCGGATGAGACCATATAAATCGAGGTCCCGTGTCGCAGAAGGTAATGGCACGAAAAAGACCCCCCTCCCTGCTCAATGGCCCTGAATGCCGAGTATTAAAAAACAAAATTTGCAGCTCTCCACCGGCAAGAGGTCGCGGCTCTATATGAGTGAAGCATTCTCTAGAGGGACGTTAAACAACATACAATCAATCAATCTACCCATTTTTATCCGTAACCCCTCGTATACCACTGGAAAAAATTGAATGATATTTTCACAGATTCTTTATAACATAATGGCATTCAGAACAGTATTACAGTTTACAACATTAATGATGATGATTTGCAATTATGATAAATTATCGAATAGAAATCATTTTGCATAAGAGTACCCACTTTTCCAATAATAATATTTTATGGAGTTTCATGATATGTAATAGAATAAGAATAGTAAATTTCGTGCATATAGACAAAAAGCATAATTAAAATGTTTTTAAACACGCTATAGTCCAGAATCATAATTATTAAAACGATCACAGTGTTAACAATTGACAACTATATATTTTTTTTATAGTAAATGTTTCTTTGAGTATGATGCTGGAAAATCGAGAAAAGAAGTTTGAAATAAAGTTCCATGAAGCGTATAATGTTAATAGAGCAATAATCGAGTGCTGTATTCTACCGGGAAAAACAACTATTCAGAATAAGTTTTGATATTTGGAAAAAATGTACTCTCTTTGATAACATCATCAAGTTCATACCTCATGTGCTGGGAATATTATTTTCTTTTAAAGATATGAAAAGGAAGACATTTACATAAACTCTCAAAAAGGGGTATTCAAGGTAGACTGCACTTGCGAATAAAACTTCCTCTCAAATTTTAGATTAAACAAAATGGCTACCTTTACTTCTTCAGGCTTTTGCTTCCATGTTGTTTTACATACTCTCTGGATTTCTCCTTTTTGTTACGGTAGGATATATTCGTGATAATATTATAATCATTTTACCATGGATACGATTGATTTAAAATTACTTATCATATAATTTGTTTATATTTCAATAGGAAATTTCTGTTCATATGAAAGAGGTAGGACCTTTTTAACAAAAGGAAATTGCTCAAAGCTAGAACACTGTTCAGACACATTCGATAATTATACAGGAAAATGCACTGGTTCAAAATTGGATTGTGAAAAAGGATGGATGGGGCCAGGATGTCAATACAGTATGTTATCATTCTCATACTTTTACATCATATTTTCATTTTTTTTTTCTGGCTGATATGTCTTTCATATCCTGGTTCATAATAAAGTTATATTTATTTTACTTTCTATAATTTGACTTGAATTGGTGCATTCCTATGTATGATATTATGAAATATATTATAATTGGCGGGAGTCTATTACCTACACGAGGTGTAACAGGAAGAAAAAACACTGCAAATTATGTAAGTAGCCCAAGGAATTTTTGTGCATACACAAATTTAAAGACTTTTTAAAAAGTGAAAGATATGTATAAAGCTAATAAAACTATGTCCTTGGACGTTTTTAAAATGCACAATCATAAATAACAAACTTTGATTTTTTTTTTTTGGAAGGGGGGAGGGCGTTTAAATTTATTGTTTTACGTCCCTTTTGAGAATTGTTCACTCACATGGATACGCCACCACTTACGGGCGGAGAGTTGCATATTTATACCTACATGTATATACACGTACTGCACGCATTTTTACTTTACTTGGGCATTTGCTCTAAAGTTGCGGTATAAGGATACTTACATTACGGGTTAGAATCCAACTGCAAGGCATCTTTCGGATGAGACCACATAAATCAGGGTCTCATGTCGCAGTAGATGCTGACATGAAGAAGGTTCCTTCCTCCGAATTACCTTGAGTGTTGAGTATAGGTCTAAGTTTGTGGTCCTTAAACAGGTCGGAGAGAATACTCGAAATCGGGTATTATCCGTGAAATCGCGTATAATACCCGATATTAGGGTATCGTTGAATCCGCGAAATCGGGTATAGGAGGTGTAATCACCTAATAAAATTTAAACAATGGGATGGCGCATGTTGCCGAGTTAACTTTCATTTAGACACCCATGTTTTCTAAAGGTATCACTAGCCAAGTAAGAATTTGGGCGTCAAGATTAATGCGCTCAGGACAACAAATACCCGTGGAGGTCAGTACATTTCATGATCTGCACACAAAAAGGTGTTCGATTTGCTTTATATTTTTTATAATGTTGAAAGTACATGCATCTTCCTAATGTTCATTCCCAACACAACAGAATGGTAAAGTATCAGAATTCGGGAATTTATAGTAATTCCACATCAACACGACAAACATGAACAATTTGTAAATAAATCAAATTATACGGAAATACATTTCACACACAAGATATGATGCCATGTATAAACAAGGTGTGGCGCAGGCCGAGCTGCAGGGAAGTCGGCTTATACTGCCGAGTGTCTACATATTTATTGTCCGAGCGGTTTTTCCCTTAAGTTCCAACTTTCCTTAGTATTGTGCTGAATGATAAGTCCGTATTAAAGTTCACTAATTTATTTACATGTCTACACACAATATTTACACACACACATAGTCCACATTTCACAGTAGAAATAAATGTAAAATAATCCAAATGAAAATACAGTATATAAAATCCTAAAATCCCGTAATCCAGTATAAATCAATTCTGAATCAATTCCATCAAAATCCTATAGCATCACTAACTTCAACTATCTCTATAGAATAACTTTTCTTCAACTCTCTAAACACAAAACTACAACAACTAAACTTCATCTACCTTAAATGATCAAATGCGCTCATTTATATAGTAAACTGAACCTCCACAATGTGGGGAATGAAAATTCTACCTCCTCTAAGTGGGGAGGCAATACATAAAATTATACAAGGACCACCCGTGATTAACTAATTATCACGGTAATTAAAGGGCAATAAACTGACTATGCTTACTAATAGATAAGGTGATACAGCTAAATAGGAGATTAATAATAAGTAGCTAACAATCCGGAATCTGAAAATCAACTAACATAAATTCTCTACAACTCTCCCCCACTTAATATTTGACTCCGTTCAAATAAAAGAAAAAAAATCTAACTAAAACTAAGCTAAGCGAAACATTGAAAAAAAATTGAAACTGAAAAACATACATGATAGATAACAATAAAATCTGCAATACATGTACTTCAACTTGACATAATAAATCAAATAAAAGTAATAAAAGATTTTCAAATACATGTACAATAATATCAATAAACAAAAAGCATTAATAAAAACAAATCCGATTGTACATCTGTGAATAATGTAAACCAAACAATAAAGACATAATTGACAATAAAATTCATATTACACATTCACAGTTAAGCATAAGTTCACATATTTACATTTAAGTCAGTAACAATAGATTTAATCCTTTAATTCGACAATTCTCACATTTTGATTACGAAAGTGTTCTGGCACTTCATTTAAAATGTCAGTCGCAAATCTCACAAGGTCCACTTCATCAGGATTCACAGTTTCGGAATGTGAGATTTTGGTATCACGAACAATTTCCGAGTTACCATCACTATGATAGGTGGTTTTCTTTGTCATTTTTAGTATTATTGTTTCCGTCACTGTTGTTGAATTTGGCATCGATTCCGCAACGCTATTTTCCGATTCACTAGATTCGTTGAGGTTTGAATGCACATCCTCACTGCCATTTGAAATGTCTTCTAAAAACGCATTTACTTTGGCGTTGTTTGTTGAGTTCAAAAGCTCCTGTTCTAACCCGGATCCAAGGACGGCCAATCTTCATCTTCACTGACTGGATCATACTGTGTTGACGGACGCGGTGGCGAGTTGACAGGAGTAATGTCCTCATACATTGCGCTAATGAAAACTGCCTTCTTAGCCTCGTTTAGTTCCTCCTGCGACATCTTCTTCTTCTTACTAAGTTTTATTTCGTTTCCCGCATTTTTGTCAGAAAGTTTATGACAACTTTGTAAATGTCTTTAAGGCTGAAATTTCTTGAAAATGGACGTTGGCAATACGAACAGTTCACAATTAGTTGGTCCAAATGGTTTTCTCTGATGTGTCGTTGTAAATTATCTTTTCTTATAATATTTCTTCCACAAAATTCGCACAGCATAGCATCTCAAAAGATTTTCTTAGAATTGTCACAACAAGTAGCGCTTTGGTAATTTTACTTCACGGCCCCTGCGTGTCAAGGTGGTGGTAAGCTGCGACTCCTGATTCACGTTCCTTTCATCCTTCTGAAGTTTGGTCGTTTCCGTACGGGGTGTCGAGACACTTGGGTCGGTCTGGTCGGGGAGCGGCAGACTAGAAACGTCAGGGTCTTCTGGATCAGCATCATAATTAACACCTGATAAAGTTTTACTGCCGTGGTATATCGTTTAAGGTTGTCTGAGTGAATGATAACGGGTTTCGAATTTTCCGAGTGTTTAATCAGGTATAATACATCTGATAGTCTTTTTGTAACACTCCACGGTCCAGTCCATTTTCTAGCCAATTTTTGTTTCGTTCCTTCCACAATTTTTGGTTGACTACGGCGCACAAAGTCTCCAATTTCATACGTTATTTCTTACGACGGCGTATTCGTGCCATTTAAACAATGTAGAAATATTTTTTTAAATCGTTTGTACGATTTACTAAATCGTACAAACGATTTACTAAATCGTTTGTACGATTTAAAATTTAGTAAATCGTTTGTACGATTTAGTAAATCGTTTGTACGATTTAGTAAATCGATTTAGTAAATCGTTTGTACGATTTAATAAATCGTTTGTACGATTTAATAAATCGTTTGTACGATTTAATTTAGTAAATCGTACAAACGATTTATTAAATCGTACAAACGATTTGTTAAATCGTACAAACGATTTACTAAATCGTACAAACGATTTAGTAAATCGTACAAACGATTTAGTAAATCGTACAAACGATTTAGTAAATCGTACAAACGATTTACTAAATCGTACAAACGATTTAGTAAATCGTACAAACGATTTAGTTAATCGTACAAACGATTTAATAAAAAAATTCTACATTGTTAAAATGGCACGAATAATTTTCGTATATTTCTGTCAAAATTTCGCTTCTGTCTCTCGGAATTAATTTTCATTGTTTCCCTCGCTAATTGATGAATTTCGATTAATTTGTTTTCTAAGTTGCGCACATATTCTGCGTCATTGACTTCGGCATCACTGTTTGTTAGATCTTTTTTCAGTCATGAGATTCAGTGGTAATTTTGCTTCTCTTCCAAATACCATCCTATGTGGTGACAAACCCGTAGTTTCGTGTGGCGTAGTATTGTATGCCAGAACAATCCCATCTATATAACGATCCCAGTCCGTCTGGTTTGAACATATGTATTTGGATAACATTTCTTTTATCGTTCGATTCAGTCGCTAAACCATTCCATCTGATTGCGGGTGATATGGGGTTGTCCGGGTTTTATTAATCTGGAATATCCGACACAAGCCTTGGAATAAGTTACTCTCAAATTGTCTCCCTTGATCCGAATGAATTTCATTTGGGCATCCATAACGTTTAATCCAGCCCTTAAACATCACTTCAGCAACTGTCTCCGCTTCTAAATTTACCAATGGAAAAATCTCCATGAATTTGGTAAAGTAATCAGCCACTACTAACAAGTAAGAATATCCTTTGTCCGATTTTGGAAAAGGTCCAGTAATATCAATTGCTATCCTTTCAAACGGTTCACCACTGAAATATTGCTTCATGTAGGATCTTTTCTTTCTAGGTGGATTTTTTCTCTCCTCACAAATATCACAGGATAACACATAATCATGCACACTTTGTCGCATTCTTGGCCAATAATAACGCGAATTTCGCACTTTTGCAAGCGTTCTCTTTTCTCCCATATGTCCAGCACTATTAGAATCATGTAGTTGCCACAGAATAACACTTCGTAATTTCCGCGGAACACATATTTTGTAATCCTCATTTTCTGGATTTATCCAGCGAACACACAATATTCCACGATCCATATACAACAAATCCCATCTGGAAAACCAAAATTTACACTCAGAATTTTCACAAGATATCACTGATAATGGGGGTTTCTCGCCTTTTTTTAGCCACTGAATTATAATCCGCATTCCGTTATCTTCGTGTTGATGTTTTTGAATGTTCTGAGTATCTAATGATTCTGTTGGTTGATTCCTAGCTTTTGCTCTATTAGGTCTGTTAGCTCTCTTCCTTGTACTTCTTAATATTGGCGCACAGTCACTGACATTAACACTAAAAAGTCTTTGAAGAGCAAACACGTCCTCTTCTTCTTTCATTGCGTTAGACTTTTCCCGTAATTCACTAACATGAGAGAATTTGTCACTATCACTATTTGTAGACTCACGCTTGCACTGTCTACAAGTTGAATCACACGGAATTCTAGACATGGCATCTGCATTTCCATGTTCCTTTCCAGATCGGTGTTCAATTCTGAAGGTATATGGTCCTAGTTGTTGAAGCCACCTTGCCATCTGACCCTCTGGTTCTTTTATTTTATGCAACCACACTAGTGACCCGTGGTCAGTCCGTAATAAGAATTCTCGTCCTAGTAAATAATGCTTAAATTGTTTGATGAAATATACTACTGTGAGCATTTCTTTCCTTGTAACACAGTAGTTTTTCTCTGAGTTAGACAGGACACGACTTCCATAACAAATAACAACTTCTCTACCATCTTGTATTTGTGACAGGACTGCTCCAATAGCATCATTGCTAGCATCTGTATCCAGTATGAATTCACATCCATTTACATCCGGATAACCAAGAATTGGGGCTGACACAAGTTTCTCCTTTAGTAATTCAAAGGCTTCCGTACATTCACTAGTCCAGTTCCATGTACTATTTTTACCGGTAAGGGCGTGTAAACACTTTGCTATTTTAGCAAATCCTTGGATAAATCTACGATAATATGCTGCCAATCCAAGAAAACTTCTGAGTTCAGAGACATTCTTGGGTACTTTCCATTCTTTTACTAAGGTAATCTTGGACGAATCGGTCTTTATTCCTTCTTGAGATACGACATGTCCTAGGAAATTCACTTCCTTCTGGAAAAAGTTGCACTTCTTAGCCTTCAGTTTTAAATTTGCCTCTTGTAATCGATCAAGTACTAAGTTTAAATTTTCTAGATGTGTATCAAAGTCACGGCTGTGAACTATGATATCGTCGAGATATAACACTGATATTCTTCACTGTAGTCCGCTCAAAACTTTTTCAATAACACGTTGAAAAGTAGCCGGTGCATTGCACAGTCCGAATGGCATTACTGTGTATCGATATAATCCTCCACGGGGGGTAGCAAATGCTGTTTTCTCTTTATCACCCTTGTGCATGGGAATTTGGTGGTACGCCATGTTTAAGTCTAACGACGAAAACCACGCAGATCCAGCTAAGGAATCAAGATCATCTGCTACTCTTGGGATTGGATAAGCATCCTTGATGGTGTTTGCGTTTAGCTTCCGGTAGTCTACACATAGTCTCCAGCTCTTATCTTTCTTCTGTACTAAGACAAGAGGAGATGACCAAGGACTATTAGACTTTTCAATTAGCACTTGTTCTTCCAGTTTCTTGATCTCATTATCCATAACCTCACGTTTAAAGATCGGGACTCTTCGTACAGTATCTTTAAAAGGTATTTCTTCTTTCAACTTTATAAAATGTTCTCCAACACGTGCCCTCTCAGCTGGTTTACTCGGGTCAGCAAATCCCTCTACCCGACTCAGGAGAAAATCTTTAAATTTCTTTGTTTGCTCTTCAGTCAAATGTTCACATCCCTCAGTGAACACTGGCTCAAGGAAATCTGGCAATTTCCTATTTGTTGTCTCATCCACACTACACACATCTGTAAGGTTGGCAGAAGATGAAACACTCTCAACTGGTTCAACGAATGCTACGGCCGTATTCTCTTTTACTCGTACTTCCTGCTCAAATGGATTAAATACTCGTAAATATATGCAATCTTGTTTTGCATCCAAATTCACAAGCACATGAGCAACTGCTAATCCATGGCTAAGTACAAAATTCTGCAAGGGCACTACAATTCCTATTCCTCCTCCTGGTCCTGAGTAAACTCTAGCTTTAATAATTGCCTCATGATGTGGTGGAATTACACAGTCTTCTATGGAAAACACATGAGATCCTTGTAAACTACTATCTGATACGCATTTCAGGATACAAAAAGTATTGTCAAAGTTCCACTGACATTTGTACTTTGTTATGAAATCCAGTCCAAGTAAATTTGTTTTAACACCTCCAACAAATACGCGAAATATCACACTAAACCCAGCAAATGATATCAACATTTTCGCTGTTCCTAAAATACGCAAGTTATTTCCATCAGCAGCTTGAAACTTCTTCTTTGCTAACTCAAGTACTGGTCGTTGTTCTGGAAGAATGCTGTAGTAGGCATCTTCTGTTATGAACGTATTAATGGCTCCTGTGTCTAATTTCCATTCTAATGGTGCTCCTTCTATAAACCCTTTTAACCTCATTCCAGATTCTCCACGAATGTGTATGGTTTTTGAGTTTCATCCCCATAAGAATGATAATCCAGGTCCTCTATAATATCTGTTTGTGTTGCCACAGTTACTGACGGTGTTGTCTCACTATCAATTTCCTTAACATCACGATATTGTAGATTAACAGTACAAGGCCGCTTCCTTAACTTTGCTGACGCATGGCCTACTGCCTCGGCTGACTCGCGTTTAAAGGCTCCCTTACTTCACGTTTACTTTGGTTAAGTGTATTATTCGGACAGTCCTTTAGTAAATGTCCTGTGGAATTGCATCTGTAGCATCGCTTCACTTGTTTAGAACTACCTCGCTCTGGATGGTTATTCTTGTTGACAATTCTTGAATAAGAATTACGAATATCATAAACAGGTCTTTCT